AAGCTGTGCCCATGGACATGATATGTGATTTGATGGTGCGTACATGGTGACCCAACACGGGGCCGCGCACCCTAGATGAGCCCACCGGAGGGAGTCGCTGCATCAAAAAAGACCTGCTCCAAAAAAGGCGCCAGGAGGTGGAACACCGAGAACAACAACACCTGGAAGCCCACTTGAATAATGGAGCCCTGCTGCCTGGGTGCCGATAGGCAGTCATTTCCCCATAGAATGTGGCCTTAGATAGCTGATTAAATTGTATGTAAACCGCTCAGAGACCTTTTGGGGTTAGAGCGGTATAGAAACTGAAAGTTAAATAAATAAGTTAAATAGAAACACTGAGGATCCGTGCTTCGGAACCATGTTTTTGCAGCATGGTGTTGCCATGAAGCCCGGGACCCCTTAATACTGTGGTGTAAGTAGTGGCCATGGTATGGGATATAATGGTATGTTTGGGGTGTCCCAACACAAAATCCCAAAACATTCATGAGGATCCATGCTCCAGAACCATGTTTTGGCTTCATGGTGTCACCGTGAAGCCGTGGACATGTGATTTCTGTGGTGCATTCTGTGGCCATGGAGAAGGTATGTGATTTAATGGTGATGTTGGGGTGACCCAACGCAATAACCTTAAGGATCCATGAGGATCTGTGCTTTGGAATCATGTTTTTGCAGCATGGAATTGCCATGAAGTCATGGCAACATGAATTTTGTGGTGCAGGCTGTGGCCATGGACATGATATGGGATTTAATGGTATGTTTGGGATGTCCCAACACAAAAACCCCAATGATCCATAAGGATCCATGCTTTAGAATCATGTTTTTGCAGAATGGATTCACCACGAAACTGTGGATCTGTGATTTTTGTGGTGCAAGTTGTGGCCGTCGATGTGCTATGTGATTTGATGGTGTATTTGGGGTGACCCAATTGAAAACCCTGAGGATCCATGAGGATCCTGCTTTGGAACCATGTTTTGTAGAATGGTGTTGCCACGGAGCTGTGGACATATGACTTCTGTGGCCATGGATGCGGCATATTATTTGATGGTGATGTTGGGGTGACACAATGACTTTTCTGGTTCAAGCTGTGACCATGGACATGTTAAGTGATTTGATGTTGTGTTTGGGGTGACCCAACAGAAAAACCTCAAGCATCCATGAACTATGCTCCAGAACTGTTTTTGTAGCATGGTGTTGTCATAGAGCCATGGCACCATGATTTCTGTGGTGCAGGCTGTGGCCATGGACATGATATGGGATTTAATGGTATGTTTGGGATGTCCCAACATGAAAACCCCAAGGATTCATAAGGATCCGTGCTTCAGAATCATGTTTTTGCAGAATAGATTCACCACGAAGCTATGGATCTGTGTTTTTGTGGTGCAAGTTGTGGCCGTGGATGTGCTATGTGATTTAATGGTGTGTTTGGGGTGACCCAATTGAAAAACCCTGAGGATCCACGAGGATCCGTGCTTTGGAACCGTGTTTTTGTAGAATGGTGTTGCCACGGAGCTGTGGACATATGATTTCTGTGGTGCATTCTGCGGCCATGGACAAGGCATATTATTTGATGGTGATGTTGGGGTGACATAATGCAAAAATCATAAGGATCCATGAGGATCCGTGCTTCAGAACCATGATTTTGCAGCATGGTGTTGCCATAGAGCCGTTGCACTGTGATTTCTGTGGTGCAGGCTGTGGCCATGGACATGATACGGGATTTAATGGTATGTTTGGGGTGTCCCAACACAAAAAAACCAAACATCCATGAGGATCCATGCTTCAGAATCATGTTTTTGCAGAATGGATTCACCATGAAGCCGTGGATCCATGATTTTTTTGGTGCAAGCTGTGGCCATGGACATGTTATGTGATTTGATGGTGTGTTTCAGGTTACTCAATTGAAAAACCCTGAGGATCCATGCTTTGGAACAGTTTTTGCAGTTTTGTGGTGCCACGAATTCTTGGGGGCATGATTTTTGGAGTGCCACCTATAGTCTAAGACATGGTTTACAGTATGATGTCGGTTTTATTTCATTTCAGCATAAAAATCGTATGAATTCATGAGGATCCGTGCTTTGGAATCATGTTTTTGCGCTGTTGTGGTGCCATGAATCTGTGGATGCGTAATTTTTGTGGTGCCCCTTGTAGACTAACACATGACCTACAATATGGTGGTTTTATTTCGATTCAATATAAAAATCATATGAAATTCATGAGGATCCATTTAGATCCGACTTTTACCCAGACCCGTAATCAAACGCTATTCGAACAAGTACTCCCCAACCCATACTAAATCTAATGCCCATCAGTTTCTGTGGAGGCCCATGACATTTTGCTCTTTTCCCAACCATGCTATATTCTTTTAGAGATATGGCACCCAAAACTGTACACGGTATTCCAAATGGGACCACACTATAGAGCTGTACAGGGGCATTACAATACTGACCATTTTATTTTCAGTTCCTTTCCCAATAATCTCCAGGATGAAATTTGCCTTGTTCACTGCTGCTTCACACTGAGCTGACATTTTCATCAAGCTATCTACTGCACAACTGGCCTTGGTTCCCACCATCCTGACTAATTTGGCATCATTTGCAAATGTAGCTATACTGCTCACCACTAATTCCTGATCATATATGAATAAGTTAAATATTAGTGGTTCTGATCCTTTCACCCATATTTATTTATACATTTTTACAGTCTATATATATCACATTATCAAATATCATCTCCTACATTTGAGTCTACTTTACATTTTTTCCCATCCATTTATATACTCTTGACCATCTTTTTTTGCATACATTATCGTCTTTTCCTTGTAGTAGCATGTTTAACCTGTCCATTTCCACAAGTTCCATTAGCTTGTGCACTATTTCCTCTCTGGTGGGTACCTTTTCTGTTCAGAAAAACTCCCCCGTTTCAAACCCACGTTTTGCATCAAGCATGCTTCATGTAAAGAAAAAACACAAGACTTGGTTTTCTTCCAACTTTTATTCTCAGTTTCAAAAGCATACCAACCACATTTTTTCCCTGTAAAGCCCCCCACTCCATGGCCCCCATCTTGACAATCCCCCGACCATCCACCCCCTCCACCAACCCAGGGGGGAAACCACACCTCCTGACAACCCTAGCACAGCCTCCTTCAATCCCATGGATGGGCACTCCTGGCCAATGGGGAGGCAGGGGAGGGGGCGGGACATCAATGGGGGAGGGGGAAGTTCTGCAGAAAGTGGGGGTGGGGCACCTGTCACTTTTTGATTTGACAAAAGGGCATCCTGACTACCTCCAGGAGTGGCTTCTGGTGCATCCCATCAAGAACACTTGCAAGCTCCAAAACCAAACTGCTCCATCCCTACACATAGCCTCGTGTCATGACCAAAAAGTGGATGCTTCCTTCATTGAACTGCTAAATAAGCAAACAGTAAAAATATTTTTGCAATACTATTGAGCAATAGTGTAGCTGTAATGTGCCCTGTTGACAGAAAGTGGCCATGAACACAAGTGGCCATTGTTTTACTTTATATGAACTGCAGGACTTGACAAGTACCAAGCTTTTGCTGTCTCTACTTGAGTACAATTTATTCAATAAAGTTCAATTGTTTTACCTTGTATCACCACAAATACATTGTGAAATTTGCTTTATAAAAATATGAAAAGGAATAATGCCATTAATACAACTAGCAAACTTTAAAAATTCTTTAAAGTTCCAATTAAAAAAAAGAAAAGAAAAAAGGGGGAGGGAGAAAACATGAATTCATTTCTGGAAAAGGAAAGGTAAAACTATTCTGGGTATTTTTTAATTACTGAAGTGAACATTGGCTTTATTAAGTACAATACAAAATGCCTTCTTAAATTACAAAGTTTTATTTTGTTCTATTGCAATATAATTTATTTTAAAATTAACTGCCACAATACTGTCACCTCATGTCTTGGATACTCAGATTGTACTTACTTAGTAGAAGTGGGAGCATTACTTGATTAAAACATGAACTGGGCAGGATTCAGCCCTACACCTGCCAGTGGAGCTTTCTACTATTGCCAAGGGAGGTATGGAACACTGCCTGCCACAGCAGGTACAGGAGCACCATGTGCACAGATCTAAATCAATACCAAAATGATTTACGGTTCCAGGAGCACTTCAAATCATAGCAGTAAAAATTGTAAGAACATAAGAACACAAGAGAAGCCAATGTTGGATCAGGCCAATGGCCCATCTAGTCCAACACTCTGTCACACAGTGGCCAAAAATACCAGGTGCCATCAGGAGGTCCAGCAGTGGGGCCAGGACACTAGAAGCCCTCCCACTGTTGCCCCCCCAGCACCAAGAATGCAGTGCATCACCTGCCCCAGCCTGTGAGTTCCTATCTATACCTTGTGGCTAATACCCACTGATGGACCTCTGCTCTATATGCTTATCCAGTTCCCTCTTGAAGCTGTCCATGCTTGTAGCCGCCGCTACCTCCTGTGGCAGTGAATTCCATGTGTGTCTCACTCTTTGGGTGAAAAAGTACTTCCTTTTATCTGTTCTAACCCGAGTGCTCAGCAATTTCATGGAGTGCCCACGAGTTCTTGTACTGTGAGAAATATGTAAGTTACTGGTATTTTTTCACCCACTTCCACTGAGTTAAGCAGGACTTGTGGATCTCTCCAACGATGAGATCATTTTTACAATTCACAGATTTTTGTTTTTTGCAGGACAGTTTAAGTGTCAAATTTTAGTTACAGCAGAAGCAGAGACAAAAGGCTGGCTTTTTTCTTGTCCTCCTTTCCCTTTTTCTGTGTAACTTTAGGTAGGCTCAGATCCTTGGCCATGCCCACTAAAACTTTTTTGGAAATACCTTTCTGCTTGAATAGCAGATCTCCATGCACTATTCACAAAATAATTTTGACCCTCCCCTGGATTTTAGAACCAGGTTTTTGTATGACTGTGTGTTGCATCTGCTCTGCAATGGTTCTTTGGGTCCAGTTCCATGTACAAAACCAGAAAGACTATGGGGTATTCTAATTACAAGGAAGATAGCACTGGTCCTTTGGAGAAAAAAAAGATAAATACACAAATTATTTAAAATAAGCAACATAATCATAATACTTCGCTGTGTTTGAGCAATGGAACAGTAGCAAACTGGTTAGATTTCAGTGTGTTTAGCTTCTTTTGAACTTTGCCTCCATTTCCGAATAACAGTTCCAGAGCTGCTAGCTACTACACAAAGGGCTCCCCCTACTGTCCACCAAGTGGGCAAGTGACTGAGGAAAAGAATTTGAAAGATAAAAGCAAATACAACATCCATCGTTTTCATTATAGCAACTGGACCTGCTTTCTCTATTTGCAATGCTTTTGTAAGAAATATCTGACCACCCAACCCAAATAGTCCAATTAATATTAGGAGAAATCTATCTTTGCCACAATGAGGTAAAGTCCATACATCCATTACAGAAAGCGCTATTACACAGACTATTAATCCAATTACTGCATAATACCAGATGGACAAAAAATAGTGCACAGATATGCCCACCTTTCTTAGGATCACAAAAGTTGAAGCAGTGCATATTGCACTAGACAAAGCTGCAATTGTCCCTTTGAGATGATCTGTGTAGCTTCCTTCAATTTCTATGACTTTGGATCCAAACAAAAAAGGTGGCCTTGCAATCAGCACCACTCCAGTGATTGTGAACAGGGTGAAAAGAAGATCCCACGGACTGTATTTCTCCTTCAGAAATATCCAAGCCAGCAGTGATGTGAATACTGGACTGCTGAAAGTAATGACCGTAGCATCAGCAAGAGGCATCACTTGGTAAGCATAATAGAGGAGAATCATTGCACCAGAGCCAAGTAATCCTCGGAAGAAAAGAAAGACTCGTTTGCCTTTTGGTCCCAGAAATCCTGTCCTAAAATGAGAGAGACAGTGTCTGCATTCAGATGGCATGATACACTACGGCTTGTCTAAATCAAAGGCTGTTGCACACACTCTGGTTAGTCTACAAGATGTATTTACCCAACGGACCACGGTCAGTCTGCTGCTTGCCTCCTAGATACCATTCCCAAGCTCTCTTCCTTAGGTTCTGGGAAAGCCTTGCTACATATGCAGCCTGCTCATTATTTACTGGCTGCAATAAATAAAAAACAAAAGAGCAAGAAAACCTAGGGAAGCTAAGCCTTTTCCACCTACCATTCAACTAAGGATTGTCAACCAACTTCCCCCATCTTGTCACTTTACTGTGGTGCCTAAAGTTGTTGGGGTTTTTTTTTTGAGGGGTTTTTTTTAACACTGAAACAAAATACACATATTACAGGAGGGGGGTCTGGAAGGACTCACAGGAAAAAGCACACACACACCCTTTAGGCCTCTGTTTCTCCTCCTGCTCCACCTCCCTTCTCCTGCACCTCCTATTTTCTGGCTGTGGTGGCTATGCTGGGTCCCATTTGGGGTTGTCACAGCAACAAAATCTACCATGCAAATTCCAGGAATCCCCCCCCCCCAGTGCTCAGATATCACTCATACCATTTGGAGGCCTTTTTACCCGCCATTTTTAACAAATTAGATTTTTCTACAGATCTGGGGAATCCTAAATTGTAGCCATGGTTGGCTGCATTATAAGGAGTTTTTGACATACAAAGGTGTTAGCTGTTGGCTGTTAGATATAAGGATATTAGATATATAAATGTCTGGGTTTTATTTCTGCAGGAAAATATAAGCATTCCATGTATTCTAACATATTCTTGTGGAAATAAAATACTGGGAAGACCATAGTTGAGTAACTTGACCATAGTTGAACACATGGCCATGGTTGAATAAGTTGTCCATTTGATCTCTCTTGAGATAAAAGAGACATTTTGATGAGATGGCTCCCTTCATGGGGAGGAAGGTATAGCAGTAGCTTAGCTGTGATCTGCTTCTGATTGCAGCCAATGTTCTATGGAGAAATTTCCATTGTACACATTAGCACTCTGGAGAAAAGCAAGAACTTTTGAGCTCCTTTTGTGTCTTAAAATTTTCCTCTGGATAGGCTGAAGCACAGTCTTGGCTAGAGAATCACTGGATTGGATCCAGAATAAAAACTCATAGAAGGAATTGGTGGAGCAGATCTGTCCCTACTTTCCCCTAGACATTTCAAACATATGGCCCGTGGGCTGGAAGTGGCCTGTCCAGGGCTCTTATCTGGCCTGCAAGCAACTGAGGGGAAACCAGTCTGAATGTGGAACAGAAGGGCCTATATGAGGGTTAAATACTGCCTGCTGAGGTCTCTCTGTGCATGGCTGCCCCCCAGGCTCCCCACACACAAGTTCTGCCTTATAGAATCATAGAATGTTAAGAGTTGGAAGGGACCTTGCAGTCATCTAGTCCAACCCCCTGCACTCTGCAGGAGCATAGCCAAAAGATAGCCCTACAATATACCTGAAAGATGGTCATCCAGCCTCCGCTTGAAAACGTCCAGTGAAGGAGCATCCACCACCTCCCGAGGCAGTCTGTTCCACTGCTCAACCACTCTTACAGTTAGGAAGTTTCTCCTAATATTTAGCCAGTAACGACTCCCTTGTAATTTCCACCCATTAGATCTAGTCTTGCAATCCGGACTGAGAGAGAATAGATCCGCTCCATCTTCTACATGAGAGCACTTAAAATATTTGAAGACTGCAGTCATGTCCCCTCTAAGCCTCCTCTTTCCCAGGCTAAACATACCCAACTCTTTCAGCCTTTCCTCATAGGACTTGTAACAGTTTGAATGGAGGCGGGGGAAGGCAAAGGTCAGGGATGGGAGCAGGCATTCAGAAAGGCACCCTGGGGTTTGCACATGGCAGAGGCAGGTGCTGGATGTGCGTCTGTGCACTTGCACATGACGAGTAACATTTTGAGTCACTGGGTAATGCTGTGGAGCTGGCAGGAAATAAAAGGCAACTAAAGTGGAGCTGGCATCTTCCGGGAGTAGCAGTGCTTGAAGACTGTAGTGCTGGGGAGCATCACAATCCCCCTTGTGGCTCAAGCTTGTTGCTGAATTTGGGACTTTGACAAGAGGGAGGTATGGGATTGGGGGTTGCCTCACTCCCCCTCCCCTCCCCAAAACCTGTTGACCATAGCAGTTTATTTTAGGCCGGGTTTGTTGGGTTCCCCTGGTTGATGCCGCTTGGCTTGACCACCTGTCTTTGGCTGCTGCACTTGTAGCAACAGAATGCAGCACTTCATGCTCCAGCTCATCGAAACCTTCTGAAATGTGTTAGTCTTTAAAGAGCCACGAGAGTCTCTGGTTGTTGCACCTTGATTGTCAGGCAGTAGTTTTCTGTGCTGTGCAAAACGTCTTGTGCATATCGAGCAAAGGGCAGTTAGTTAGGTGCTGGGGAGGTGTGGGTCACGGTCAGTGGTAAAATATCTCTGGTACCTGGCATTACATTTTATGGCACACATGGCCCAGCCTGACAAAGTGACATTCATGTCAGATCCAGCCCTCATAACAAATGAGTACAAAACCACTGATTTAGGGCTTTAAAGGTCAAAACCAGCATCTTGAATTTGCCCGGAAACCAATAGGCCGCCAATGTAGCTGCTTTAAGATAGGCTGTACATGTGAAGACCAATGTTCCCTCTAAGCTGAGTTAGTGTGAGCTAGCTCACAGTTTTTTAGCCTCCAGCTCACACATTTCAGGAAGGATGGCTCCAGAGCAAACTAATTTATGCAGTAGCCAAATCACTCACTCACAACTTTAATGCCAGTAGCTCACAAAGTAGAATTTTTGCTCACAAGACTCTGAAGCTTAGAGGGAGCATTGGTGAGGACCAAGATGTTCCGGTCAGACACCTGGCAGCTGCATTTTGGACAACCTGAAGTCTCTGAAATGCCTTCAAGGGCAGCCCCGAGTAGAGCAAATTGAAGTAGTCTATTCTAGAGGTGAAAGTGTCACTATAATCATATAATCATAGTAGAAGAAGGAGAAGAGGAGATTGGATTTATACCCTGCCCTTCACTACCTGGAGGAGTCTCCTTCCCCTTCCAACAACAGACACCCTGTGAGTTAGGTGGAGCTGAGAGAGCTCTCTTGAGAACTGCCCTTGAGAGAACAGCTCTGAAAGAATTTATGACTTACCCAAGGTCACACCAGCAGCTGCATGTGGAGGAGTGGAGAATCAAACCTGGTTCTCCCAGATTAAAGTCCGTGCTCTTAACCACTACACCAAACTGGCTCTTGACAGGACTACCAGCATATTTGGATATTAAATTGCTGGTCTCCTCTGGGGCTCAAGCTTGTTGCTGAATTTGGGACTTTGACAAGAGGGAGGTATGGAATTGGGGGTTGACTCACTCCCCCTCCCCTCCCCAGCTTCAAGAGGGAATTAGATAAGCATATGGAGCAGAGGTCCATCAGTGGCTATTAGCCACAAGGTATAGATGGGAACTCACAGGCTGGGGCAGGTGATGCTCTATATTCTTGGTGCTTGGGGGGGAGGGCAACAGTGGGAGGGCTTCTAGTCTCCTGGCCCCACAGGTGGACCTCCTGATGGCACCTGGTATTTTTGGCCACTGTGTGACAGAGTGTTGGACTGGATGGGCCATTGGCCTGATCCAGCATTGGCTTCTCTTATGTTCTTATCCCAACCTACAGCCTGACCACTTTCCTGCACACGGTACTCCTGAATCTGGGCCCCAGTAAACATTTCTGAAATGCCTTCACTAAGGAGTCAAAGCCTTCTTCAGAGTGCAGTTTAAGGTCCCACCTTGGGAACTGAGCACTTCTCTACAACTAGCCATTGGGGCGCACAGGGCACTTTTGGGTTGAGACTCCAACAAGAAGTCCAGAAGCTCCTCTAAGGATTCAAAGGGTTAGTCTGTGATCGTCACAGTACATCCAACAGTCATAATCTTAGCTATGGTACAAATGCTACAGATTGTGTTTTCCCCCCCTTTTAACTCAAAACTCAGGAAAATGAGGGATTCAAGAAGGTTTGTACAAACAGGAAGAAAGCTATGGTAAAAGCTGGCTTAGGGCCACTGTGAAGAAGACCTCCTCAATGATGCAGGCACTCCTTGCTGAGGTACACACACAAAAACAACAACTACTGGAGAAGGAGAATGCATCCCAGGGGAGATCAAAGGAGGGTGTGCTTTGTCCCTCTGCCCCCCTGCCCCCCATGGGAGGAATCACTCATCAGGCCAGGATGCCCCTCCTCCTTTGAGTGAGAACTCCTCTGGTGCCGGTTCAACTGATATTGAGCACCCAGTACTGTTTACAATCTACTCTTTTACATCCCTGTTCTAAATGCATTTTTTTCAAATTTCCAATTTTAATGGAACTGGCATCCAAACAGTTGCATTTATGATCAAAGCTATGTAGCATATAGCATGTTTTGTGCGCAAAATTAAATATAGAACCCCCAAAACATAGAAAAAATATTTGGAAATCAGAACCTTGGTCCATCAAGGTCAGTACTGTTTACTCAGACTTGCAGTGGCTCTCCAGGGTTTCAGGGAGAAGTCTTTCAGATCATCTACAACCTGGTCCTTTTAACTGGAGATACCGGGGGTTGAACCTGAGACCTTTTACATGCCAAACAGATGCTCTACCACTGCAGCATGGCCCCTTATGCTTTGTAGGGGTCTGGGAATGTCTTAATTGCACAAAGTTGCTCTCAAGTTCCAAAAGGGACACACTTCTCCAGTACCAGTTTATATGACATGGTAGTATTTCAAGTCTGCTGCAAAAGGCGTATGTCACAGAGAAGGACCAAATATTTTCATTGTTTTAACATAACTGCGATATTTACCTGATTCAATCTAATTACACTATATGATATTTCCTCATAGAGAAGGCATAATACTCACTTGTAGTATATTACACCTGGAAGCACAAATGCCATTTGGAAAACACATCTAATGGCACTGACTTCTACTGAATGCACATCTTCAATCATCTTTAGAAATAAAGAAGCCACTGAGAAGAGGAAGGCAGACAACAGTGTATAGAACAGGCCAAGTCCTGGACAGGGAGTTTTGGAGTTTATTCCTGTAACAAAATTACAATTTCCACTTAGCGACTGTAGTTAAATTGTTAACTTCTTGACTATAAAACATCTATATGCATGCCTTGAACAATTAACTTTGAGTGGGAAAAGAAACAAAAACTATACTTTGATTGCTGGTTGAAAGCAGTAATAGCAATTTTTGATTAGTTGAAAGGATAGTAAAAGAGACATGTAATCCATGAGGCTAACAGCAAATGTAGTTAAATGATCTTAAGTAACTTTTTACAATCTAATTTTTAAGTGATATTGTATTTCCCACATCATTGCTCATTTAAATCTCTTTATTACTTTTCTGGCAGAAAAATAAATACATAAACAATAGTAAATAGGTACAAATAATAATAACAGTATTAATAAATAAAACAAATACAGGTATAAATGGAAATATAGGGAAAAAATATGTGCGGATTAGTGGAGGCAATTAAAAGACAGAAAAAGAAGAAAGCACCAGGTCCAGACGGAATCCCCGCAGAGCTATACCAAGTTTTCAAGGAACAAATTAGTCAACCATTTAAAGAAGTAGTACAAAATATAGGGAATACAGGAAAACTACCGAACTCTTGGTATCAAACAGCAATAACATTAATACACAAAACAGATACTGACCGGACAGATATTAAAAACTACAGGCCTATATCGCTTTTAAATGTAGATTATAAAATCTATGCAAACATCCTTGCAACGAGACTCAAGAAGGTTCTATCTCAGATAATCCACCAAGATCAGACAGGATTTTTACCAAAAAGACAGATAAAAAATAACATGAGGACAATTATGAATGTCATGGAGTATTATGAACAATATCCAGAAAAACAAATGGCATTGATGTTCATGGACGCAGAGAAGGCTTTTGATAATCTATCATGGGAATTTCTACTTCAAAAGTTGAATAGCTGGAACTGTGGAACGTTGTTCTTGACAATGATCCAAGCAATATATAACACACAATATGCTAATGTGCTTGTAAATGGTGACATGTCAAAAATAGAGAGGCAAAAAGGAACACGACAGGGTTGCCCACTCTCACCTTTATTATTTATATTCACGTTAGAAACACTAAATAGCGAAATAAGAGAAGATAAAAGAATACAAGGACTCAAAATAAAGGGGGAAGAATTTAAATTACTGGCCTTTGCGGATGATGTTGTATTTATAATGGAAAATCCGATAATATCAAGCCAACATCTATTAACTTCGATATATGAATTTGGAGATAGGGCAGGGCTAAAAATTAACTTGAAAAAACCCAAAATAATAACAAAAAACTGTACAGAAAAAAAATAATTCATGAATTACATAAAACAACAAATGTGGAGATAGTGAAAAAGGTTAAATATTTAGGAATAGTATTATCTAACAGAAATAGTTCACTTCTTGAAGATAACTATCATAAGTTGCTGGAAGGGATCAAGAAGGACTTAACAAGATGGAAAGATTTACAACTATCTTTAACAGGCAGAATAGCTACCATAAAAATGATGATATTGCCGAAATTCTTGTTTCTAGCACAAAATATACCCATACTGAAAAACTCAAATTTTGGGGGGGAAATGGATAAAGAAATAAAAAAAATTATTTGGCACCCAAGACAAGCAAGAAATAAATGGAAAATACTTCAAGAGAGAAAAGAGAGAGGAGGATTTGGACTACCCAATTGTTATACTATCAAGCAGCAGCATTAAGCTGGATAAGGGAATGGATAACCTTAGATAATACAAGAATGTTAAATCTAGAGGGACACGACCTAAGTATGGGCTGGCATGCCTATATATGGTATGGTAAGGATAAGATACATTCAAATTTTAGACAACATATAATAAGAGGAGCCCTACTATGGACGTGGAATGAGATTAAAGAAAAATACTACTTGAAAACACCGAAATGGGTATCGCCTTTAGAAGCCTACATAAAACCCTCACTCATAAACACTTGTGATAGAGAAAGCTACCAAACATTATTAGATGATAATAATAACCTGAAGTCAGAAGAAACTTTAGTAAAAGTATATAAGATAAAGTTAACTTGGTGGAAAATACGCAACTCATATCTAGGTATACAAAGGCTATAATAGGTTTTCATGACAATAAAACACAATTAGATAGGATATGGCTGTCAACAAGCGATAAAATGATTCAGAAAATATATGGATTTTTATTGGACGAGTATTTATTAGATGAAAGGGTTACTTCAACAATGATAGTATGGATGCAAGATATAGGTCATATGATAGAAACATGGGCAAACACTTGGAAAACGCTGAAATACATGAGAGCTTATAATTATAAAGAAAATATCTACAAAGTTTTTCACCGTTGGTATTGGTCTCCTGTGTTGGAAGTGTAAAAGATATGTAGGGACGTTTTACCATATGTGGTGGCGGTGCGCGAGAACAGAGAGGTATTGGAAAATGATACAGAAGATGATATTAGATATTACTAATATTAGTTTGGTCTAAACTCCTGAAATAGCTTTATTGAACATGATTCCAGAGGATTATAAACAAAATGAGAAATATTTAGTAGTGTATATCTTAACAACTGCAAGGATATTGTTGGTCAAATACTGGAAACAGGATAAATTCCCCACAAGAGAGGAAATATTGTGTAAATTGATGGAAGTAGCAGAAACGGACAAATTAAGTTTAATTCTTCAAGGGAAAGACAAAAATGTATTTATTGGAAGATGGGAAAGCCTGCATAATTAGATTAACAAAATAGGGAAATCTTGGCTCAATGAATGGAATGATGTATATATGTAAACGATAATTAAGTGGAAAACTGATAAATAAATATAATTTTAAAATCTCTTTATTACTGAATGTTAGATATTTATTGGATATTATGTGTACTGTTGTCCAGGCGATTTTTGAAACGGTAGCACTAGACTATCACAGAGTCCCAGTGCAAGATCTGAAGACTATTTTAGTCACATTCCCTTTCCTCTGTACTGTCTCAGGGCGTAATCAATACATTAACAACAGTTCAAAGGAAATATCAATATTTCCCACAACATAAAATGTGCTGAAGTTAATGGATTACCTGAGGTTTTAGTGCTTGGAATTTGAGAAGTATAGGCCACCTACGCTTTACATGCCTGTAGCACATGCGTTCTTCAATAATTTACAAAGACAAGAGTTGCCCTCAAGGCCAAACCCTTTATGGCTGTAGCAAATCCTTATCTTCAAATGCTAGTTCTTCCCTGTTGTGTGTGTAGTGAAAGTGGGGTTATCATTTAAGAAGCAACAGAGGGAAACAATGGTTGCCAACATCTTCCTGTGCCTCAAGCTCCTTTTTCTTCCCTCCAGGCTCAAGAGATCATAATTTAGCATACTATGGAGGAAAGCAAAATGGGACAGAGACAGTGGATGGTTCTTGCATCCACCCACACAACCCAATTGACTTTTAATACATATCTCCTACCACTTGAATGGAGCATATCCATGCCTTAATAGAGATATGGGGTGAAAAATTTTCCAAAACAAAAAAATTCTGGGAAATTTTCCACCTCTCATATGTCTGTCTATAGTTGTCAAGGGCTGCTGTGCTCTAAATTCATCATGTTAGATGGGATAAATGTGGAATATGAAGCACGGACAAACCCCCAGTGCTTGTTTGTGGTCCAGGCTTGTACCTAGTATATTTGCCTCCTTCTGCTAACGTTATTTAAATTGTTTGCTGTCATCATGAGTATAGGTTTGCTGTCATCATGAGTAGCTTGGTTTTCAGTATGACCAAACAAGTTTACTGTCCTAATTAAGGACCACTGATTTCAGCATCTATTGAGCTTCTTCAACCATCAAGAACATCCAGATTTAACTGTAAAAAGAAAGCCCTCTTCTGAGCTTTTCCAGAAATGTATTATCAGCATTTAAAGCACCATAAAAGAGCCCCTGTATCATATTTGCACAGAAAACATAAGATCTTTTTAAAAAGGTGTTAAATCTCAAAGCCTGAAGAAGTGTATGCACTTAACGTTTTATAATCCAAGTTGTTCTTGGAAGCAGACAATCATTTTTCCATCTAACTTGCAGCACAGCTTTTAGCAGAGCTCCATGACATTTACCCACTATAGACTAATAGTGATTTTGATCTCTTGTTACTGTGTCATTCTACTCACATTATACAATACCCGCACTAATTGGAATTTTTCTTCTTAAACAGAAAATAACTAGATCATGTAACATGAACTGCGGTTGATGGAACAAATCCAAAACTGTTCTGAGCCACAGACTGAAGAACAAGAACAGATTATCAAGTTCTTTCCCAGTTAATTATCCAGGAATAAAGTGCCAAAGTCATCAAAGTGGGCCAGAATCCAAAGAACCATGCAAGTACTTCTGCACACCCAAAAGGCTCCACCCACCAACCTCTTCTCTGCCATATGGCAAAAGCCATTTCAAACTAAGAGCACTTTCAACAGCAGTTTGACATTTGACAGCTGACTCTTCCAAGAACCCTGTATATACTACACAGTAGTATGGGCTATTGTTCTAAAGTGATTTCTGTTTTAAAAGTATTATTAGAACATCAAAAAATACTCCTCAACATTATTAATGCTCAACTTTTACATTATAAGAAGAATATTTTTAAAAGAACAGAATGCCACCCTGGTAGTCTAGACTGCCAAAATGAGCAGTCTGGAATTGAAAAAAAAAATTGTACTGTTGTTTAATCTCAACCCAAATTTCAATGTAAGATTTAAGGATGGAGTAAGATCGTATTTCTCTATTATTCAAGTGCTTGCACACTCCCGTAATAGCTCTCATGCTGTATTCACTTTCAGTTCTACCCTGAGAAAAGACTGAGACAGAACAACCTTGCATACTAAGGCACAGAAAGTAGCAGTACCCAAAGTTCCTCCAATGAATGGAGTTTTACTTATCAGTGTTATTTTATCAGAATTCAGTTTTGCCATTTCTGTTTGCAAACAATTCCATTCAAGTCTAGAATATCATGATTCCAATTTGCTGCTTTCCGTACCA